TTGCGATCCGTTGCCGGACACGGAAAAAGACAAAAAAAACAAAAAAAAAAAACAAAAAAAATTTAATTTCCATGTATTTGGATGTTTTCCTATTGTCTTTCTGCTGTTGATTTCTAATTTAATTCCATTAGGGTCAGAGAACACACTTTGCATTATTTCAGTTCTTTTAAATTTGTTGAGGTTTATTTGATGGCCCAGGATATGGTCTATCTTGGTGAATGTTCAACAAGTGCTTAAAAAAATATGTGTATTTTGCTGTGACATTTGCTTTTTAGTCATACATTTTATGTACCCCTCATCAGAGGAAACTGAAAGTTGTATCATCTTTTTAGAAATTTCTAACTGAACCACCAATTTTTGATAGTTGGGAAGCCTGTTTATCCTATTTAGGATAGAATGTTGCTATAAATGTGGAACATCTCATTGAAAGGTTAAAGATAGGGTTGAAGTCAGCTGGGGGGTGCAGTCTTTAAAAGAAAAGTTTGGACTCTCGGGTGCTGGAGAAATGGCCTATATTGCTCTCCGGGGAAGAATGCGCTGGGAGGCATTACGGGGGATTATGGAAGGAGGTGAAGGGATAGGAATCTTAATCTGGGTGAAGAGCAAGTTCAGCAGGACTAGACTCTCCATCTCTCATTCCTGAAGCTCCTTCCTCCAACCATAGCTTTCTTCCACAGCCCATGGGTCACCTTCCACTAAGCATTGTTAGTACCTTTCAATAACTTCTCTCCCTGTGGCAAGCAGATTGTTAACACGCTGAGAATATGGCAGCTCCTCATGATCCATCTCTGCCCTAGCGCAGCTCTGGAAATAACAGTGGTGCATTCCTCTTTGACAGGTGACTTATGGCTGTTGATGAGACACATGCAAAGGAATACTCACTATCCTCGTGAGTCCACACAAGCTGAGGAGTGCTTGGAGGCCCATCCCCAGGAGTGGTGAAACACAGCACTGATGTGAAGTAAGCAGTAAACTTCTTCAAGTTGGTTATATACCCATGGTGGACTCCATGGAAATCTGGAGCAATGGTGACCACAGTGATAGCCTCAGAGACATCTGCTGGCCATGCTAGAAGCTGGGTAAACAGGTCGAAAAAGAAATCCTTTTTAATTGCATGTCTTCACTCTCAAATCTGTATCAGAATTTTATTTTGCAATTAACGTGTCTTTAAGGAAAGCAAAGTCATAATTAAGAAAGTCCATAAATCCTACATCTTATAATCTCACTTCAAAATTTGAATTTAAAAGATATCACAGATTACTGCATACAAATATGTAGATTCATATATATATATTTATACATGTATATATAAATGAATATCTACTTTAACTCTTATTGGAATAATGGACACTCCCTCACACTTTCACCTTCTCTTCACTTACGCATGTCACAGAACATACATATTTTTTAACAGTAAAAAATAATGATGAAAACATTTGTTAATTTAATTGAATCAGTATAATCAAACAAACACAAATATTTTTCCCAATAGGCACCTACTCTGACTCAGAAAGAAGCCCATGATTCAATAGGAGCAATCTTAATTATTTGTGATTTATAACACACTAGGTTTCCTGAGAAGGATTTTAGGAGATTGGTTACAAATTTAAAGAAATAAACTATATATACCTATTCCCAGAATAGTTGTTTTAATGTTTTGGCAACATTTTCTTTGTGTGTGAGTTTCAATTACATTGACACCAAACATTTCTAGGATTAATTAGCTCTGAAAGTTGACATGCTGCAGGACACAACGCGTACTTATGTACATCAAACTGACAGCTCAGCCATCAAATGAACAGCACGGTCTAGCCAATAAGACTTGACAGGAGAGTCAAGAAGGCAAAATCATCTTGGCTGATCAGTATGATTTTCTTTCAAAAAAACCTCTGACTTTAGATACCTGAGGAAAAAGAAAAGGCAGGGAAAATTTCTGGCTACATCTGCCTTTCTAGCAGACAAACAAGTGTTTTAGTAGGTAAAGTCAAGTGGAGGGGAAAAAATGAACCATGTGCCTGAGGAAATAATACTCTCTGAATCTGAGATTACCACATATTCAAGCAAACTAGATGGAGTCCCTTCTCTATAAAGATCTTCCCTGAGTTTACCTGCCATTAAAGAAGGTTAGTGAACATGCCGTAAGTAAAATTAAGGTAGGCTCCCAAATCTAACTGGAGAAGTTGATCTAAAAGGTAAGATAAGCTTTTTTACTTTTGGAAATTGCATCCAAGCACATCTACAAAAGCAACATATTCTGGCAAGTAAGGACAATAGAAGTTAGAAGGCGGGAATTTGTCTGTGTCTCTAATTCAGTTCGAGTAGGTACCCTGAATCAACCAGTCTCAGTTCTTTAAACAGAACTCTCCCTAAAGTAGAAAGGGAGGAGGAATAAGTATCCTAACTTGATAGAAATATCCCTCAAGTGCGTCTGGTGCTCTTTGCTCTGTGTTCTGAGAGAACTCCCTTCCAGGTAGAAGTGATTTGTACAAATGTTGATTCCAGTCAACAAAGATAGGTCTCTCACTGGTCATTTGTAAATGAATGGCTTTTCTCATAAGAAATTGCTCTCTTATGTGTGAACTATCTTCTCGATAACTAATAGTTTGAGTTTCTAAGTCAGTACAGCTGATGATAAGACTTTGGATAAATGGTGATCCTACCAAGGTCAAGACACTGCACCTTGAGGCAATGGGGTCTTCATGAAATAGGAGGGGGCTGTCTCCTCACTGCATCACAAGTTCATTACAGACCAAGACAGCCTCCCAGAGACCCTAAACCAAGGCCACGTACCTTGTATCCCTGGTTGATGCCATTGATGAACTGCTGAGGTGGAGGGTTCCACAGGAACTGAATGGTCGTGGAATTCACGGCTTCTGTCTGCACATTCTGTGGGGGTGCGGTAGGCACTGTTCCAAGGCAGTCATTGAAGACAGCAAAACAAACGGTAGGCAGTGGAGAGGAGAGACGAAAAAGAAACCCTTAGCCGCCACTCACGATTCACGGGCAATTACAGCATGGAGAGCAGGGAAGGATGATGAATGTTCCTGGAAGCTAACGGCGGCATTACAGAGAAACAGAATTGGGCTATTTCTCATTTTCTGTTGGAGAATTCTTTAAGGCATAGGCATAAAAGTGGACTAGACCATCTACTCATTCTACAGATGAGCCTTTCCTATGGATCCAAGATAGACAGCAAGCAAAAGCTTTCTATAATTTCTTTTCCAATTACCAAATATTTGAGACCAAGACAAGGTTCCATCTAGAAATCTGCCCCCCCACCACCATTCTATACCACTATGTTTCAAGCCAAATTATTCTTTTTATGAAAAAACAAAACAAAACAAAACCATCACCCCCCTCCCATGCATATTGTTGCTTATTCATTTGGAGGTTAAATTTCTTTTTGTCAACAGAGGGAACCATTTTTGGATTTTCCACTGTTTCTTCCTTTGACTGAACAGCTATTGAATCCAATCGTATACCTGCCAAATGGCCTGCCTTCAAGGAACGTACATTCTAGGGGAGACGCTCACGTAATTGTAAACTGGCAAGTCACTCCACAGAGTAGTAAATGCCCAGGGTAGAGTGAGTGATCCTGCCCCGGGAAGGAACAGATGTCTTCACTTGGACTGTGTCTGAAAGAAAGGGTGGATCTTTGAAGGGGGAAGGGCCTTGAGAACTGCATTCTCAGCTGGGAAAACAGAGCGAGCAAAGGCATGGTGCCAGGAATGAGCCTGGGAAGGGGTGGAACCCGGTGAGCATGGCTACACGTGGGGCGTGGGGAGAGAGGGGACGAGGAAGTGGATGGGCCACTCTGGGGATTGCCTAATATATCAAGACAGTGGTTGATAATTTGTATGGTAAGCAATGGGGAACTGAATGCTTTTGAAAGATAGTGGCAAGACAAGGCTAGCTTTTTAAGGATGATAACCCCAATGGACTGCAAAGAGGGGACTAGCCCACCGGCTGTACCATGAAACTTTCTGCAGATGAAAACGAAGGTCCTGGCTCTTTAGAAGCTTGTTTCAAAAGTGAAACATGGAAGCCCGAAGGATCCTTTGGCTCAAGGTAAAGACAGAAAGACAAAGGTCTCCTGGCACAGAACACACGGGGTCAGAACACATCCTGTTAAAAATTACTACATTTTTCATGGCTCTCTTCCTGAAAAGATTATATCATCAGGCAGAGATTAAAAAAACTTAAAATTCACCAAGCCCTTTGAGTCTACTCCTTTAAGTCATGCTCTCTTTTCCCATCTGCTGTTGACTATGGCTGTGATATCCCTGAGTCCCTCCCTCCGTAAGTCACCAAGGAAGCGGACCTACTTCTCACTTGGCACCCATGCAAAATCTGTCTATTAAAAATGGCCACATTCTGCTGTTGACTATGGCTGTGATATCCCTGAGTCCCTCCCTCCGTAAGTCACCAAGGAAGCTGACCTACTTCTCACTTGGCACCCATGCAAAATCTGTCTATTAAAAATGGCCACATACATCATCTTCATCCTTCTATGATGAACATCATTTCTCTTTAATTGTTCTCTGCTTAATCTCCTCATGACCTTGAGCCAGACTGCCGAGCTAAGGCACTCCTGGATTCCTGAATGTCCGAAACTGTGGCATAGACACTAAAGCTGAATGCACCCACACCTACGGATTGGAGAAATGCCCTGCAGACAGTCAGATAAGGAGAGTTCTATTTCAACGCAATAAGTACTTGAAAAATGTTGTGCCACTTCCTTCTGGCCTCCATGGTTCCAGGTGAAAAATCTCTCATTTGAATTGGCATTCTCCTGACTGCGCAGAGGCGGAGTGAAGCGCGCCAGACCGGCCCAACTCTGCGAGCTCTGTGAGTCCCCCCCAGCCCCCCCCCACTTGTGGGGCGAAGCCCGACTGCTCCCCGCCAGCCTGGCCCCCGCCCACCACCCCAGGCTAGGCGCCCACAACAAAGCTGCCTCCATTTTCTTGGGTGGGGGCGGAGAAGGCCGGCATAGTGAGGGCAGGCCAGCCATCTCTGTTTGGCATGGCTCCTAACTGAGACGTGCTATTTGCTTACCTCGACGCGGAGCACCCCGGGGCCTGTGGACCAGCCTACAATCCCACTCTCCCCGTGGATCTCAGACGGGGCTGATAGCGTGGGGAGCCCCTGGCCAGCGTCGGGGGGGCAGGGAAGAGGAGCCCCCCCAGATCGTCTCTCCGCCACACCCTGGGCGTCGGCCCCAGATAAACTCCCTCTTCC